CCAGATATGTTTACTGGTAAAACTGTGTGGGTACAACAACCATAAGATGAAAGCCAAACTTATTTACCACTAGCAAGAGTTTCGATATCTGGACAGTTTGGCGACATTGTAACCAAAGCGGCTGCGGTTGGAGGTGAGTTGAATAAATGTCGATATCTCCTTGGGAATAGAACAGTGGCTAGATTGTCAAATCTACAAATAACGCCAATGCAAATTTCAGATTTGAACGCAGTTAATACCAGATCACATTCGATTAAAAGCTGAAAATGAAGAATATGCGCAACAATATACGCAAGATAGAAAGTCAAGCGAAAAGAAATAGCTAAAATCAAGAATTTTTGCTATGGAATGCTTATCACTCTATAAAACATTTTGCAAAAAGCGTAGTAATTGTAGGCCTGCATTCGTTGAAATAGTGTTGCCAGACTCGTTACACTGCATGATATAGGGTTAAAGAATGTATCTTAAACTTTTATTAATTATTTAAGTGTAGTAGTCAAAATCATTGCATATCAACTTTGTTACTCATCAAAACGTGTTTTCACCCAACTGAACTACTTACATACGAACCTAGCTAGCAATAGCAAACATTTTGTTGTCAGATTTTATTTTTAGGGTAAATAAATTATATTAAATGTTATTTTATTCTGATCAAATCTAATGAAATTCTCACAATATTACAAATTAATTAAAAAAAACCCAATACAAATAATTACAAATGATTATGACAATTTCTACAAAAAAATTTCTTCAACGAGTAACATCCAGCAAATTTTTATAATTTTTTCAAAAATTGAAAAAGAATTTAAAAAATGATATTACAGGAAGCTGTCATGATAACTATGCAAAATGAGTAGGCTAGAATTTTAACTTAAAAGTTTTGAGAACAAGATCTGTAAAACCAAATATTTATAACTATTTAGAGATCTTTCAATAGAATACTTCTTAACTTAGATGTAACAATTTGTTTATGGACCGTGTAAGGCAGTGTTTCCCAACGTGGGGCCAACGCCCCACTGGGGGGCAATTTGATTGTTAAGGGGGGCAATTCGAAAATTGACTGGACACGAGTTTAACCCTTTTGCTCCGGGCCATTAAAATGCAATGTTAGATTTCGGTGCCAAAATTGAAAGAAAAAAGCAAATTCTTAAATAATTGAGGCCAATAAATATTACTTGACTTAACGATTTTTTAGGCGACAAACCTGAAATGAAGTATCTGTTAACAGTCGGTCGTAAAGCATTTGTCAGTTATTATCTTTGAAAAACTAAACATCTTTGTGACATTGAGTCACCAAATCTTAATTTTTCTGTTGGGATTGTGACCTAGAAATTAGGCCGACACCCCTGAACCCTCTACTGTGACGCCTCACTGTCTGCCGACCTTCACGCCTTTGACCTTCGGCGGCCTTTTATGTCAACACATGTTTTTAGTTACTGTACGGTCGCCGTTAGTGTTTAATTATGCTAAAATTTAAGGGGTTAGTCAACTCACTTCAGTTCGCTCCTTAAGCTAGGTTCTTTTGCTTTTTAGGGAGTTTAACTTCCACTTCTGGCCTTTTATATAAATACCGCCCATTTTTTTGAGCGGGTAGCATTCGATATTTGATCCTTTCAAAACTTACGATCCTTTAACAGGGATTTTTAATTTTCACCCCCTCCTCTCTTTGAGAGACGGAGTTTATTTTTTGTTTAAATACATGGCGATTATTTTCTCCGACCCCTGTGGATGCGTGAGCTGTCCGGCTCGGCTGTGCTGAAATTCTTCTTCGCCATGGGTAAATCTTTGGAGGGCAAATTTTTGAGAAGTAAGACTCCAGCGGCATCCCACTCCCGTGTTCCATGAGTTTGGTTACATCTCGAAAGTTTGGTATGAAAATGCCAAATGTGATTTTAAGAAGCTGTCCATAGNTCCATAGTCCTCCACTAATGCCTATCCTTTTTCAATCATGTGCCAGAAATTAGTGTGCTGATATTTATGGTGTTCCTTGTGGCTGTGCTCCTTCGATGTTGTGATCTACTATTATCCAATTTAACAAACCTTCTGCTGCAATTAAAAATAAAACGAACATTTTTGTGATAACCAGAACTCATTGATTCTGTTTCTTTTTAAGAACATTATTGTTTTTCAACATTTCAGACATCTCAAAGTAAACCTGCAACAGGTATGTGGAACTCCATTACAATGACATATTGATCTCCTTTTTTTTGTGTTTTTTTTATATTTTTATCTCTAAGGGTTATTGCTTGCATCCTTAAGTACTTTTTCACTTTTGTCGTAGTCACGAGCCAGAATTTACTTGTCTTTTATTTTTTTAACTTTGTGACAAAAGTAATTAATTAGCTAAATTTATAATTTTTTTTATTTTTTAATTATAACAACAGCAAGAACCAATTTAACAATCTTATATGAGCAACTTCAAGGAACAAATGAAAATCTGTTTGATGCAAAAGCGAAGATATTTGGTTTCATTACCCTTGTTGAGTTATGTCAGAAATATATTAACAACGAAAACTTTTAACAGTTTCATTGGCTCCAAAAAGGTGAAGTAAATGATACCGCTTTACTTGTTATTGTCGATCATCTGAAAATTCTTTCGGCTGATTTACAAGAAATATTTTCTGATTTAAAGCATATTGATTTTCCAACACGGATGATGCAGTCAATGTTAGTGGATTTGTCTGATATATGTCAAATATGCAGTTTCAAGAAGAACTCGCAGAAATGCAAAATGATGAGTCACTTAAAACTTTATTTAATATAAAAGGTGTGATGGCATGGATTTGTGAGGAAGCAGAATTCAAATATCCAAATTCAACCAAATGTGCAAGAAAACTATTGTTACAGTTTCCATCTTCATATTTAGCTGAATGTGGATTTAGTTCTATAAATTATTTACTGGTAAAAAAAAGAAATCTCCTGGATGTATTAAAAAAGGGAGACTTGAGACTGAAGCTAACTAAATCGGAACATAACATCTCTGTGCAGAAGCATCAAGCGTAAGGATCTCAATAAATCAAAATATTAAATTATCATAGAAAAATCTTAAAATTATTTCGAATTTGATTATATTAAAAATTATATTAAAATTATTTCGAATTTGAATTTTAGTTTTTCATTATATGTTTTGAAAATTTACTTACTGTGTTTCGTTAACAATTTCCTAGTGATTTTTTCCTAAAACCTATCATTTAAGTTTCTTAAGAATTCAATTTTTTAATATTAAAAAGTATGTACATGATACATAGGGGGGCATACGAATTTTAGAACGACTTAGGTGGGGCATGGCACAAAAAAGTTTGGGAAACACTGGTGTAAGGCCATCACCTCCTACATCAAGAAGCCTCTTCACGGTCTTTTATAAGTAGTCCGCGCAGACTGTTTAAAAAGTGAACCAGTTGTGCGTATGAACCCCAAACCTTTTTTTAAAAGTAATTGAGAGAAATTTATCTTATATATTTGAGAATTGAATCTGTAGTGGTTGACAAGTGAATAAGGCAAACCAATAATATTCATAAATAAAATAAATTTTTAGTCATATATTTGCTACCACTTTCTTATTTTAACTATATTCTGTATTAAATGACGGTAAGTGGATATCCTTCACAGTGGTCTAGTCGGACTACCTATAAAAAACCGTGTGGAGGCTTTCAGTTATAGGAGGCGTTGGTAAGGCTATGCACAAATGCCGCTAGAGGTTAAAATTCGTAGTAAGACTTCCGGGCTACTACTTCCGATCGATTTTTAACGCATACATTTGATAAAGCGTTCCATCCATAATTTTTAATTTCGTAGTGTTTACAATGTAACACGTTCCTTCAATTTAACTTTAAAAGAAACAAAGAGTAAATGAATTAGGAACGAATGAATTAAATTAATTTTTGAATTTCTTCTGGCTCACGACCTGTTAAAAGCTATATTTTACATAAAACTTTTATGTCTGGTAAAATTTCGTAGTAAACCAAATGAGCAGAAGGGGAAGGCAATGTCAATTAGTAATTAATGGTCACTTTATACAAAATTAATGGTCACTTGCTTGCATTCAGTTGTAATACCGTAAAAACTTTATTTTTTACGTATTACAATGTGAGTTTGAATTATGTTTGCCAAACTTTTTTCTTTTCTAGAAAGAAGTAAAGGTACGATTTTGGGAAGAGAAACCGTGTAAAACATAAAATCCTGTTATGAACTATTTTTCAAAAAGAGCAAGACTGGTCACTTAACTATTTAAATCATGAAGTTTATCAATGAGAAACGAGACATTCATGATCACCCTATTTAATTAATGATATAAATATCTATTTTTTATTGGAAATAATCCCAATAGCTATAATTTAAAATTAAAGTTATGTTTTGAACAATATGTTCTCATTTACTCATTATCGTTGTTAAACGGTTGATCGAAATGATGATCAGCTCTTCAACTCCATTGTCCCTTTATTTCAATTTTCCCGTAGTTCGTTTAACTATTCAATACAGTTGTCCGTTTTTGTACCCAAGTCATAAGATAAAGGGACTTTTTGGTCAAGCATCGGAATAAACACACCTTTTTGGAACATTTTTTTTAAAACGGACTTATCTACATTTACTATTACTATTAACGTTACATATTGTATTTTTGGGAGCTTTTCTATAGTTTTTTTGATCAAGTTGACATGCAATATATCATGCTAAAAATTTATTTTTCTTATTTTTATGTTTGGCATATATGTTAATTATAACATTAGATGTGTACCATTTTTTTGATAAACTGAAATAAATGAAATAAGTATCACGAATAAAATTAATGCACATAAATTAAAACTATAAATACATTAATATTCCTAACTCAGTCGGGAAAGTCACTCGAAATGTGTTAAGTGTAGCATAATTTTCTTCTCACTGTATATTACCATGCTTTCTTGAAGTTAAATAAGAAAAGTATAGTTTAACTTATTCTCGGGCTTTTATTTTGGTTATAGAAAATAATAATAAAACTTCATGAAGGAATATCTATTTTTAATTTTTTTTATTTCTGGAATTTTTTTCATATGTACTCAGAACTCTTGTACTAAAGGAACATCATCAGAGTTATCGTCTTGCAATTCATAATCAATGCTAGTATCAGGGCGTTTTTCAGACATTTCGTATCGCAGCATATCCCAGAATAACTTATCTCCGAATTTGAGACACCTCGACGATACCATTACAGTCTTCAGACTCTTATCCATCTCTTTCAGGGGTGGAAGAGGCCCATATTTCACAAGGATGATCCGATGCAATTTCTCCTCCAATGAATTTGCAAATGCCACTCTAAATATCTCCATGCAGAACTCGTTTTCCAAGTAGTTCCTGTTTTCAAGTAGTGTATAGAAAATTCACATGATATTGTCGTTTATGAACAAGTAAAATCCAGATTTCTGTGGTTCTAATCAGCATAAAAGTAATAAAAGTTATAGATGTATTTAACAGTGAATTAGTTACAAAACCAAGGTTCTTTTTCAGGATAAGAAAGCATTGTCCTACATAAATTTATGAGTTTTACTTAAAATGCCTAAGAACCTATAGTTTCATTCCGACTCGAATAGAAAGAATTTTTTTTCAAAAATAAGATATAAATAGATATAACTAAAATATAAATAGTTATACTAAAAAAGACAATATTCTTTTCATTTCTTTTCAATTCAAATAAAAATACCAACTGTGTAATATTGCCTGATTCTCAACCTATTAATAGTCTCAATAAGAGACTTTTATACATCTGTGTGAAATAGTTGATATAAATATTTCTTTCTATTAAACGAATTGAAAAAAAAAATTTGCATAAAATTATAATTACTGTTTATTAGGAAAGATAATTACATGCAAAAAATATTTTTTATTACATATATATGATTTTTTATTAATTTATTTAATAATGTTTGAATGGTTTTTTTAATTTATTTAATAATGATTGAATGGTTTTATTAATTTATTTAATAAAATTGATGTTTAAGGTACACATTTTTTTCTTTATTTTAAAGAACATAATTTTAAATGGTGAATTACGAAATTTGAATAAAATTGGTTGGATAGCTCCTGAGAAATTGAATTTTAAACAACTCAGATATTTAAAATTTAATTTCTCGGAAACCATTCAATCGTTTTCACTCAAATTTTGTATTTTGTCATGTAAATTTACATACTTTAAAATGATGTAAAAAAACTGTATACTTACAGTTAAAAATGTCTTTGACTCTTATTTAATAAAATAATAAAAAAATAACAAACATTTACAAAAATTTATTTTTTGTATGGCATTATCCTTGGATATACAAATTTTATAACTGCGTGCAAAACGTTTTCAATTTCCATAAAAAGTTCTCAAGATATGGTAAAATACACAAAAAGTAAAATTAACATTAAGGGGTACAAACCTTGTATCACTCTCCTGAGCAAACTGTGGGTAGCATATTTCTCAGATAGTTGTTACCCCCCCCCCCATAACTTGGGGATCATAAATCTGAATTCGTTGAACAAAAGGAAGATTAATCGGAGAAAGTGTTTTGTGTGACTGATTTTGTAACTCAGAATATTGTTATCTTACTATATAATTAGCATATTTGAGGTCGAGCCATTAAGATCGAGTCCTAAAACGGGATCATCTGATCATTAGATCAAAAGCTATTCAGTGTGATCCGCTATTTTTTGACGCACTGTACAGTTAAGGACAGAACTTGTCTATCAAAAAATTATGTTTACTAAAGAACGCATCTTAATGCACAACAGTCACAAATCTACTTGGTTCTACTTGGTTCAACAAGTTCTACTTGGGAACACAAGTTCAAATTAGGAGTCTGAGGCCTCAGATGCTTCCTTTTACCATTCATTTTGAAATATTGGAGCTTTGTGGTAGATCTATAAGGTAACAGGAACACATATAGGATGAACGGTAGGGAATAAATGACATTTCATTTTAAGTTGATCGAGATGAAATTGATAAGCTTTCAGACACAAAACAATACATGAAGATTAACAATTCCTTCAGAGAAACAAATAATGAATGTATGCAAATGATGACTGCCTTGGTAATTCATTTCAAAATAAATGTTTTGTAGCGTCGCAAGTTTTTTCAGTTTGTAGTCTGTTAGATTACACCAGGAAGCCGGTGCCTATATCATTATTGGTCTTATCATGTATGTATAGAATAATACTTTTAGTTTCAGTTGTAGGTGTCCCTGATTGAGAAGATTCTGTAATTTAATTACTGCAGCATTTGCCTTATTCTTAACACGTAGGATGTGATCAGTCCATGTGCGATGTTTGTTTAGAACAAGACAAAGATAAGTGGCTTTTTTCACGGTTTGTGAGTCTCAATATACAACAATATAAAGAATGTTTTTATAAAAGGAAAGTGGTTGGATTTTTAACATTAAATGTATACATTAGATGTACCGTTCAGTTCTGTCAGATCATAATGTTACGATTATCAATGTGCATGCACATGCTTTTTAGTGCCATATATTCTATGTACCTTTAAACTGGAACATTACAGTTGTATTAAAAGGTAAATATCCTACCACTTTCCTTCATAAAAGAACCTTTCGCATAACTGAAAAAAGGCGTGTACTTTCGCTTACAGAATTTCCTGATAGACCAAATACATACCTGCCAACGTTTACGCAATTGGCGTAAAATTTTATTTCTATCTTTTAAGTGGTAGTAAAATGTATGTTTTCTATATGTTCCTTGCATTTATAAACTTAATTTATAATCTTTTTGACTACCACTATTTTTAAAAAAATTAAGCTTATATATTAATTTGGAATACTTTTATGCAGTCAGCATAAACATCTCCAAAATATAGCGTATTTTTCAGCCTAAATTTGAAATTTAAATTCCATTCCACTACCACTGGGAAAACTCATTAAAGGTTGGCAGTTATGCAAATATTATTCTCCCTCCGGTCTCAAATTAGCTGCTACATTTAAATTGCAAATTTTGTCTTAAATTAATTGATATTTTACAAACAGCCAGTGTGTCATTAGTAACATCCTATGCAGTTAAGTAGATCGACACCAGTAAAATTATACTACTAATAAATTCGCAGCTCATGATATTTACATTCAATTAAATATAGTTAAGGAAATAAAACCGAAAGAAACTGGTATACTTAGAGAGTAAAATGACTGTTCGTTTACTATTCACCACTTGTTACGTTAAATTGTTTATCTCGATATTTTTCGCATAAAATTTTGCTGAAAATAGTCAAGGCAATAAAAACGGAATGCTGTTCCAGCACTTACTTAGTGAGCAAAAAGACTGTACGTTTGCAATCCAACATTCGTCTCATCAGATTGTCTATTTCGAAATTTCCTGTTTTGATATCTCTCTGGGGTACAAATAATTTATAGAAGGGATGCTTCAGTTCCAGCACTAAAGGAAAATACAAATGAAACAATAATAAAAATTTACAATATATGACTACTTTTTAGCTTAGAAATTATATTTCATACTCTTGGGCTAGTTTCAAAGCAAAAGGAAAAATTATATAAATAAAGACTAAAACAAAATCCTTACGAAACCATTCAAGCTATCAGTTGGCAGTTATGCTGAGACAAGCTACAATTTTTAAACAGAAATAAGTATTGTGAGTACTCATTTATTAGAGTACTCACTCAGTTATTATGAGTATTCATAAATAACTGCCGATGTTTAGCTCATATGTAAAACTTGTAAATAGTAGTGAAGCTAGAATAAGATTACGTATCTGTTATCTTTTGTTCCTCACATAGATAATTTTTCTCAAATGTCAATTGAATTACAATCAAGGGGAAAAAGTTTTCGTTTAGCCAGAATGTGAACACATCATCTTATAGTTAACATGTCTGTGAATATACTATGCTTAATTTTGATGTAACGGTGGTAAATATCACATGAAATAAAAATTTAATGCTATAAAAATTAATCCTTTTGGTGCGGATGATTCATAAGAGCAGTCGTGCAAAATCAGGATGGATTAATAATAATAATCGTTAGCTTAAATGAGGGCATGGCTAATTTGGCAGAATTATATTACTTTCACTTTAATCAATGTTAACTCAGTCACATATCTAATTAATATCATCATCATGATTATCACCAAACTCTATCTTTTACTTCTAAATTATTAGTCCGATCGTCTCCATATTGATCCTAAATTCTGTCCGAGAAAATACATTGGAAAATAGGCCTCACTTGTTTCTTAGAAAAAAATTCCTTTCTCCCCCTAAATTATCCCTTTTTTTCTTCTCTAAAAAAGGGGAAACGTGCCGAAAAAAATAGGAAAGTTTTTAAGTATCATATTTATAACAACATAAGGAAGCTTTTTGTCAAAACATAACTTGTTTATCAGTTATTCCGAAGAAACACCATTTTTGTTTGCTATAATTACTGGATTATATTGAATTTGCAAGCATTATATATTGCCCTAAGGCAGGGGTGGTGAACCTTTATACACCAACGTACCATTTTCTCTAAAAAATTGCTTAATGAGGTCATAGACGTGCCGTCAAATAATTTTGACTTCGTGATTATTTTGAAAATAATATTAAATACTATCAACTCAAAACTCTTTACTTACAATGAAAAAAATTCTATTTTGCAATATCTCAGTTATACGCGTAATTCAACTTTCAAGTAACATTAGTGTGACTTCTGTTGTTGCAGATTAGATGACAAATAACTTATATTAGGTTGTAAGATCTTAGTTTAAGCAGGACTGTTAATTTTTTTTTTGCTAGTTATTTATTGTTAGCTTGTTTTTTTATGGTTAATAATTGTTTTTTAGCATTAATTTTTTTTTAAATATTGTTTATTTTTTTGTGAATTTTAATTTAATTGTTACATATGCTTCATAGTGTAACGACAATTGTGCCCAAAATATTGTGTCGCGTGCCATAAATGGCACGCGTGCCATTGGTTCGCCATCCCTGCCCTAAGGTTTTATGACCACATTGTATATAATTACACATCATAATTTAACGTTCATTTGTCATCAAGATTTTCTTTTACTTTATTTGCATTCTCATCACACGTGTGGGCATCTACAGGGATGCCAACAGCTCCGCTTTCAGCAATTCTTTTAAAAACTTTTTTGCTAATTAAAAGTAGTAAGACTTTTAGAGTAAGTATAATTAAGCTCACATTTTAAAAGATCTACCACGAGATAACTGCTTTTTTTGCTTTTATTTAACTCAAATTGGGTACCTAGGCCGCGCAGTGAATAAGACATTTACTTGTTTTTGTGACATTGTGGTAACACTTACAAGAATATAAACCTGATTTAAAGTATATACTGACGTGAACGGTGTATTACATAAATTGCACGAGATTATTGCAAATAAATTTCATTTTATATCATATTTTGAATTTTCGATAAGTAGTGGTGGAAAAATTACTTAAAATGAAAAAGAGCTACTTAAAATCCGGCTAAGTTAACGAGTTAAATGTGTCATGGAAAGACTTATATTTGCATATTTTTTTACTACCAAACTATTATGAATTTCTTTCCTTTAAGAAAATGTAAAACAAAAATAAATGTTTTAAAACATGTAGAAATTTTTTAACTTGCCTGGTAGAAAGTGTTTTCGAGCCTCTGAGGCGTCTTCATCGGACAAAGAAATATAAGCATCGAACAGTTTTCCAACATGTCTTTCGCTTCTTTTTTTCAAACATCTCAATCCTCTTGAATAGAGCCACACTCTTATATGATATCGATATCGGAAACACAACAAAATAAAGGTCACTGTCATTATTAGAATCACTGGAATCAGGGGAAGGTCGATAAAGGTGGTTAGTAATTTTTTTTAAAAAAGAAGATAAATCTATGATCAAAACATATACAACTACATTTTTTAATGCCATACATGGAAAGCAAATGAGCTGGCTTTGTTTTAAAAACTTATAAAGCATCTGTAGAAGCCTGACGCTAGTAATGGTAGGTATATAGCAATTAAACATATTCAAATTTCATTCACTCACTCTTAGAAAACCCCACACGATTTATTATGGATACTATGATTATATACAAATATACGAAAGCGGTATTTAATCCAAAATCTAATAAAATAAGAAAGTGGTAGCAAATATATGTATAAATGTTTTTTTAATTTATGAATATGATTAGTTTGCCTGAATTGCTTGTTAAATATCACAGATTCAATTCTCCTAGTCCCAGTGTTTTGATCTTATTGGGCACCTGGGCCGCGGAGCGGCCCCTATCCCATTCATCTGGAATTTTAGAACAGTTTTGGTTGAGCAATGAGGTAAGCAGGCAATGGAGTTGCTTTTATGAATGTTTCAAGCTCTTTGCTTGAATAACTAAAAAGGAATCAAAAATAAATTGAGCAGCTTGCTCTAAACTGTGTTTGTTTGATTTTGGAGTTGTTCAGAATTGTATCAGCATGAGTAAACGTTATTTTCAGAAGGGTTGATGAAATTATTTGTTTTGATAGTTATGATATGAGGCGTCGGAGGTGAAATGTGCAGCTATTGGTCTGTAGTTTTTATCTTTGATATGATTTTCAAATTTAAAGATTTCTTCAAATTTAAAGATTTCTCAAATTTAAAGATTTCGATTCAATTCTCAAATATATTCAATTTAATATAAATTTCTCTGATTTACTTTTAAAATGGTATCTAGTCTTGTGTGCACAAATTTTTCACTTTTTAAATAGTCTGCTCACACTACTTATTAAAAAAAAACGTGTAGTGCAGGGGCGTCAAACTCGGCCTATAGGCTCCTCCCACTTTTTCACACAATACTAATCGAAACAGATCAAAATCAACAAATCTTCTCAGTTACCAATATTTGTGACCTTCCGGTGAAAATTGAAAGGTTCCGCTGCGGGAGAAGCCCAATTCAATGCTACAACTGCCAAAATTACGGTCACACTCAGCGAATTTGCAACTCACAACCATATGTGTTAAATGTGCCGCAGACCATCGTTCCTTTGAGTGCCACAAAGACATAAATACACCACCCAAGTGCTGCAACTGTCTGGAGGCACGCACTGCCAACTACACGGGATGCAGCATCCGTCCCCCCAGGAGAGGCCCTCGTGCAACTCCAGCTACAATTCCATCTACAACGACAGGTCAAGCCCATAGACTGGTTTCAATCATCAAAGAACTAAAAGAACTTTTAAAAAACGGAGAAGTTTTACAACTGCTGCAAACAATCATGCGTGAGTTCACTTCTGAATAATGTCACTTTTGGACTAAACCTGAACTCTTTTTTTGAACTTTAGTTAGTATCTCTATTACTATACAAATTAATATTTTTGAATGCTGATCACACTAGATGGCGCCACTAAGG